GGGCACGTCCCACTGAGAGGAGACCCCAGGGAAGACCTAGGACTGCTTAGACTACTGCCCCCGCGATCCAGCCCCGGATAAGCGGAAGAAAATGGATGGATGGATGTGACGTAAGTTTTTTTCCCGATCTCTGTGGGAAGGAAGGCCACAACATCATGGCCACGAACAAAACTCAGCAAAGATTGTTCTTGCTCCGGCTTTGCCTTCTGGATACTCGCCAGTGTTGCCACAACGGACCGTATGACAACATCATCGTTCTCTGCCACTCCCTCGGTTCGCTGCTTGGACCGGTAAACATTGGCCGGAGAAAACCTGCAAATATATACTGTACCGCAAACCCAGACAACTTACTCTAGGAAAATGAAAATTGATTAGAAGTACGTAGGAGGGTAGCCTGGGTTTCCCCATATTGCCTTTGTTGCAGCGCGATTTTATTCACCCTGCTTGGCAGTCTGGATAAAATGGACTACATTTATATAGCACTTTCATAGACCCAATGGCCACCAAATCGCTTTAAATATTGCCTCACAATCACCCATTCACTCACTCATTCACACACTCGTCGGGAGCAGCTGGTGTTAGGTGTCTTGCTCATGTACACCTCGACACTTGGTCATTTGGAGCCAGTGATTGAACCACCAACCTTCTGGTTTGTAGACAACCTACATGAACCACTGAGCCACTGGGACCAAATTTTTGCCTCAGCAAGGGGACCAATCACAGAACGGGGAGGGAGCAACAAGACGATTACGACGTCTATGCGAAACACTGAAGCAGTTTGTTTAGGCCTATGGATCAAACATGGCAGCAGAAGTTACCTTTCACTGCAGCCTTAGATATTGTTCTAAGTAGTTTAGAAGGCAAATAAATCTCTGATCCATCGTCTTCTTCCTCGTCTAATTTCTTTCACTCTACATACATCATCTGGTATAATTGAAACGATTGGCTATGAGCTATGTACAGGCCCATTTGATAGACATTTGATAGCACCCTATAAACGTTTCTGGGCATTTGTAAACCACGCCTCAAATACAAGAAAATTAACATGTGGTTCCCAGACCATGTCTTAAGGCCATTGCACACTGAGTCTGAAATTCGCATCCGACATTTGCGCACGTTAAAAAAAAAATTCGACCTCATGTTATGTCAATCACGCTTGCACACCGCCTCCGAAACTTTCGTCCGTCATAAAAAAATTCGGATCGGGTTCGATTTTCTGCTTTTTTCACATCCACAGCCAGCATTTTGAGAGGTTTTTTTGACATTTCAGGGCCGGGGGGAGCTCGTTTACTTCCGCACATCATTGCACATATGCGCAGTGCTTTCAGTTTCAGTTTTCAATTCGATCAAGTGTTTATGTTCTCTTCTCTTGATTGGATTATGAAAGAATAACCTCCCCTTTCAATCAGATTGAAATTTCGGATCGATTAATGTGTGATTGAGCAGCCAATTCGATAACTAATGTATTATTTGGGTACAATATATAACATCTAGCCTATACAGCTGTTCTGTCTGCCCAGCGCTTGTGCGTGCTTGTGTGTCCATACCTTAGACATAGCCTACTGACAGTCTCTGTTCAGAATCGATTGGTTCACGGAAATTGGTGGTCTTGTTTTTATTCAATCCTTGCCATTAATGCTTGGATAACATGCCTTCGTCTCCTTTGATAAAAAAAATAATGGCTAATGCAGTGGCTGGGATATGTCAACCTACCGACATCCGTTGGCATTATTTATGGAATGACTTATCGCAAGAGGGAAAAAATATGTTTCAGTCACATAACATTGGTTAATGGAAACGCTTTCATTTCGCAATAGTTTTTTTCGACATTTAGAAAATATTGCAAAAATTTTGGGCAAATCTGTAATGCAAACACGACTACACTTGCATGCACTCTGATGGCAAGGTGCAACTTGAACAGTGTGTTTGGCTAACATCTCATGTGTATATTACTGAAAGATGAACCTTATTTTAGTTTGCATGGTGACATTATTTGCATGTTAAACACATTTTCCTTCTGAATTATCATTATAATAAGTTATTGAAAATATCTATTTCTGTATTGCAAAAATGTTTCTTTATACATCAGTCATTTTTGTTGTACTTTGTTTAAAGTAATAGTTTAATACAATATATTAGTTTTGCATATAATACAGTAAAAACAAAAATTATTTAATTATTTTCTCATCCTTTCTCATTCCAAACTGCCTTTCTTCTATGAAACAACAAAAGAAGATATTTGCAATAATGTTCTAATCATTATCTTCCATACAATTACAATTAATGAGGCTTGGAGTTTAAAAAATGCAAAATCTCCACAAAATCATACAATTTGTCTATGTGATTTAAAAACTATATTCCATGACTTAAAATCTTGACATCTGCTCTAACTCTCCTTGCAGAGCTAAGCAAAATTATTTTGAGTCTTTTTAATAAATGGGTTGACCTGGATTTTCAAAACAAGCCTGAATAATATGTTCATGAAATTAGATTGATCCCATTCTCAACACACTACTGAAGTCTTCTCGTTGCAGCAGTCACTAGCTTACTGTATTGGAGAATATAAATGTGAATAATGACTTGTATTTGTATAGAGAAATTAAATTGAAAAGAGTTTGTATACATTACTATAATGTGACTGTATACAGTGGATTCTTATCGATGTTATAAAGACATCCTAAAGGTGTCTAAGTTCCTTCATCTAAAATGCTTGTTGTTTTAAAAATGTGTTTCTGAACTCGCACAAATTCTTAAGGGCTGGTGGATTGAGATGATGTCATAGTCTTTCTTTAATTTTAGCTCACCTGCTCTTCTTCTTTCTCCGAAACAAAGTCTTCTCACAAACATTACCCTTTCATCCCCCTACACACCCACACGAAGATCAATCCATCCCAGCATGCCGTGCATTTTTACACTCCTCGCATCCCCCCCACAGTGGTCCGCTGAAAGCTCACCACTCAAATGGCAAACTTACTGCACGGACGATCACAGTTTATCAATTACCGCTGAGCTGTAGGGCCCTAAGTGGCCCTTGTTAAGTAATTACTACGTTTGATGCGAGCATGAGAATGCGAGAGCCTTTGAAACCGGATCAGGCAGACGGCGTGGGTTCTGCGCTGCACAGGGACAGCGGGAGGCTCATGAATGCCTTGATGGTCGCACAAAGAGAACGATACCTCAGGAAGGCGAGACGGTTTAAGAAACGGCCAGAAAGAGAAAGACATTCCAGAGGATGGCGGGGGCTCACAGGTGTCCTCAGCTGGAATCGGTCTGGCACGTGGCCGTAACGTTTAATTAAAGCATTCTGCAGGTGAACGGCTCTGCGCTGTTACTCTCAGGAACAAAGCGAAGATGGTCTTATGGCTTCCTAATGTTATGGAAAAAAAGGATCATTCACCATCTCAAACTGAAAGTTGCTGTCTGTGATCAACAAAAGCCATTTTGAAGTGTATTTAAGACCTGCAAATGAGATAGAGACATGTTAAGAGCAGACATTTGTGGAATTTATATTAGAAGGCGAAGAATGGTTTGCGTGGAGGACCAAGCGTGCCACGTAGACAATAAAATAGTCAATCTATCCTATACAGATTCTACAGAGTCTATTGTGTGGAAAATAGCTTGATACTGGGTACATGTTATTGTAGTTTTTGCTTCTGATGCTGTGCCCATGGAAGGGACTGGATGGGATAGATTTTTTTTTTTTTTTTTTTCAGGATTACTGTTGTGTAAAAATGTCCCCTTTTGGCCTAAGGGGAAAATAGTGAGCCTGCACTGAGCCAAAGTGACTTCAGGTCAGTTGTCAGCACAGCTGGGAAATGAACAGTTATTTAAAGAGTCGAGACTAGATATGTGCTAATACAGACAATGAACTGAGAATTAAATGATTTAAATGCATTTTGCGAAGCGCAGTGATTTTAGTGTAATTTGTTTTCTTTAAGGGTGTTTCTTCTGTGGATGCACTTATGTCCCATGGAATGAATTTTATTTATGAAAAATATCAGATTTCAGCTGTTTCATTGTTAAATGTCACAACAAACTTTTTTTAACCATGCCTTTTTAAAAATGCTTTTAATACTTATATGCTTTTACAAGATTTTTGTCTTGTCCTTGTCATAGATCCAAATTTTCAATCTTAAAATGAAAATTCATAATCTTGAAAATCCATAAAAATAATTACATTTAAACAAAGATTGAAATGAAATTTTTTTTCAAACATTCAATCACACAGTCGTGGCTTAATTTCCACCACACTGAACTAATAATGTCTGCTTTACCAAGAAGATGACTTTGTCAGTAGAAATATTTAATATTTTAACTTTACTTTTTTTAAAAACAAAAAAGTAAATATCACATGTGAATCAAATATTTTTAGAATTATTTCCAAACAGGCTATACTTTTGACTTTTTTTTTTTTTTTTTTTTTTTTTTTTACAAAACCATTGTTTCTGTGACCAGAAACACAATTCATAATTTGGTGTGGTGGAATTGCTCAGTGTTGGGACACTAAGAGGAATTTAAAAATAATATATTTGTATTCTTTTGTACATTGAGTGGAAAAATTAAACACGGGGTCAAAAGTGCCATACTTGACGAAACACCCTTTATTCCACTGTTATAAAATGCGTAGATTTATCTTTTTTTCCATTGCATGTTAACACAACCTGTTTTGTCTTGCAGTTTTCCACTCAAGCGGTGCATTATTATGCATTTTTTTAAACTAATGCAATGTGTTTTCAAACCCAATGACTTCATTAGCTAACTAAAAATGTCTATATCTTTCTCATTTGAAGGAATATTTGCACTTTCGCCTGCTCACTGCAGTTCATCCTTTGTTTTCAATCCTGATGTTCTCTGTGAATTGTATTTCATTGCTTTGACACTTCCTGTTTATTTCCCAAATATCTTCTTTTGCTGTTCTACTTTCTCCACTCCTATCATTTGCCTTTTCGTCTTTTTTTTTCTTTCTCTCCATTTATTCCTGTGCCTGCCGTCGGATGCAGCCAAAGTACGTAGGGCATGGAAACTAAATCGCGTCAGTAGTCTTCGCAACATTTACAGCTTTGCCTCCAACGTTGAAGGTAACTAGCTCCAGTAAACAGAGCGAGGGGGAAGTCAGTGTACCCCTGATTTTTAGACAAGCCCCTCACACATTCCCTGTGATTATCCTTTATCCTTCAGTCCTCCCCGATATACTGTTAACCCCTGAAACACTCCCTGCACGGCACTTACGGTTCTTAGAGCATGTAAAGATATGCTTTGCTTCCGTGATCGTGTTTGTATGTGTTAAAGTGTCGTGTTTGAGGTTCAATTATTTAGTGATGGTAAATTGGATGATGCAATTTGGTGATATTGAACACATTGTGGGACGGCACATACGTTTTGGCTCCTCCTCTTTGTACGCCCCCTTTCCCACGACTCCACCCCTCCTCTGCTTTATTTATTTGTTCACATTTTTCCCTGGATGTGAATAACTCCTGTAATATTTGCCAGGTTATTAATGCTGGATGCTTGAAAGGAGAGGGGATAATATGGGAATTAATGACCTGTGTCACAAAGCAATACTGTGTGCTTTGACATTTTGCTCGGTTAATTTGTGTTTCCAAGCATTCAACTCTTCCACTGTACCCCCAAGCACTGCCGTCTGGGCCGCGTGGAGGTAACACCCCCACCCTAGCCTGCCTCATTTCTGTGCATGCTGCATCTTTTGCTCTCCGAGTTGATTGCGTGCCGTTTGTTGGTAAAGGTTGCCTGTGTCAGAGTTCACAAATTTCCTTGCCACTGCAATATGCCTGAACATCAAACCACAAGAATAGAAAAGCTCAGAAATGATTGGATACTTTCGGTCTAAATTGAACAGAAAGTAATTATCGTCGTATTAGTAGCTTGTGGAATATGGAGATCAGTACCAGGCACCAGATGAATGATAGCTGCCCCATTTTAAAGTTTAAGGGCGAAATAGAGGGGAGGGGTGGCTGCCTGATGCCCTGTCATCGCAGTTTTTGTGTTACACAATTGTTTTCTTATTAATTGTGTGCTAAGGGGAGGAGGCGGAGCCAATCTTCATATTTGCCTCTGAATATCATCTTTCTGCATTGTTGCTTTTCATAATTGTCAAATACCGCCCTCTCCCCAATAGCACTGCAATTTAATTAGGGTGAGAACATTGCTGCTGACCCCAGAGGGCCCGGTGCCTTTGAAGGGTGGGTCCAATCTAGGCTGGGATGCTCCAGTGATCCCACCAACCCCCAAACCTTGCAAATTTTAATAATAATAAAAAACAAAAAACTTAAAATGAATAAATAATAGGCCCAGGCTCCCCAGCCACTTTTTGTTGATGTTTTAAGTTTGACTTTTGCTGCAAATGAGCAAATCATTTAATGTATGCTTGTTCTTTTGATCCAGAACAGGAAAGATCTCTTTCATTCCCTTTTGGAAAGTTTGGAGAGTGGAGAGGTTTAAGCATTCCGTCTACCAAGCATGTCTTTCTGTAAGGGAGGAATTTTTGGATTTAAACACAAGGCTCTTTTACAGCAGTGAGGGTGGCTCATGGCCCTGCGGGACCTTTAATGTGACTTGTATGATAGGAGTTCAATTAGGCCTGTGATTGACTGAAGGAGAGGAAATGGTGCGACTGCACAGATTTCCCGCTGATTAAACTTGTGAAATGGCCTCACAGGGAGACGATTCGAAAAGCTGTCTCAGAACATAGTGTAGCCAGAAGAGAATTGGTTTGAATTCTTATTTATGGAAAGAAGAACAAATAAGCTGTGAATACAATTGATAGATGTGTTTTAAACTTGCATTCGGCAAAATAACTGATTCACAGAGCCAGACTATCAGCATAAATAAAGTCTGGTCCACATTACAGCTTAATCTGGCAAAAACTGCCCCTTTATCTCATTCCAAACCTGTACAACTGAACAATGACAAGTCCTCACAGAAAAAAGTTGTCTAAACAAAGTCAATTAACTTTGTGCAAAACAATTAAACCATGTCTTTTTTCCCATAAAAGAATTTGAATGGTGTGAGAGTTGTTACCTTTGATGCCACTGACCATAAGCCCCTACAAACACATTCAACATGTTCACTTTAGCTGTTGTGATACACGACCTGACCTCTTTCTAAATAAGTTTGCATTCAAACTAACATTGATAGCCAATCTGAATCCATCCAGCTTTAAGGAACTAGAGCAGGGGTCCTCAAATAGCGGACTGTGGTCCAGTTCTGGACCCAGGCTTGGTTCCAACTGGAACTCAAGACAAAATAACAACTGTAGCACCATTTTACCATTTCTGTATTTTAAAGTGAGCAACACGTCAAAACAATGGACCGGTTCACGCCACAAGCACCCAGGGTTGTTTATGATAATGATCTTTCGGCACTATATACTCTGATACTTCTATCTATAGCAAAACATGCTTCATTCAAGCCTTTTTTGTTTTGTGTGCTTTGTTTCTCTCTCCTGCTGAAGACACTACAGAGCTATAAAAGCTTCAGATAATGCGCAATCTAGATTCATATAACACTGCAGAAAATGAGAAGGCAGCAAATACAAAATTTGACTCCGACCATTTAAACAAGTTTTTTGGAAAGACTAAGTCTATGTTGAGCATGAGCATTTCATAATAAATTGTTATAATTGGGAAAATTATTTATAGACTATAAGACTAAAACCTTGAAATAATTAGTTAAAGTTGTTTTGTGTTCATGATGAGGGCATTTTCATTATGTACTTTGTTTATAGTAGATACTAATTTTAAGAAAATTAAAAAAAAAATTGTCCAAAAACAGTTGAAAAGAGGAAAACCCTGAACCCTGACAAAGTATCTTCTTACCCTCAATCGGTCTTTGGGGTCTATATGACCCCAATCGACTTTTCCTTGATAAAAAAAAATGGTTTCCTTTATCTGAGTGGAATAAGATTTTGTGACTTTTCCTACAAAATCTATCTAAACACACACAAAAAAACTGGGCTTGATTCGGTTGTTCTGAAGGTGTGTAAAAAAATGTTTACAAATCTGGTCTTCGGGGTCAATATGACCCCACATTGAAATGAATGGGAAATGTGAAAAAAACTAAATATTTTGTATTCATTTGTCCAAAAAAAAATATAAATCCATCATAAATCAGAAAATTTCCACACAGAAATAAAGGCCTACTACTAGAGCATAAATGTGATGTAGAAAAAACATGCTCACTCACACACACACACACACAAAAACACACACAAACAAACATGTATTAGTGTACTGCCACAGAGAGCATTTTTTAGAACTCACAAATGAAATCAGTCACAAATGCAGAACAAAGATATTAAAGTGTGAGACCTAATACACACACACACACACACACTCACACACTGATTATAGTTTTACAATTTGTTTTACATGTTTTTTGTAGCTTGTTATTGCTTTTTAAGTTCAGAATTTTATTGGAAAAAATGATAGATTAGATGTTCACTCATATTGCTTTTGTTTTCATATTATTTATTTTATTTATTTTGCATTCTAAAGTTAATTATTTATTTTTACACTTTGTTCAATAAAATCAACAATGTGCAACTAAAATCTGACTCCAAGTCTTGTCCTTTAGGTGTGTCTTATGTGGCATTTAGCTGTCCTTTTTCTGTGGCACTTTGTAAAAACAGACGTTTCAAAATGCATCAAAAACTACAACAATTATACTATTTAAAAAATGTATAATTTTAAATGTCCTTTCTTATGTTTATATATATAAAAATTCATAAAATGTATTTCAAAAGTTGTGACAGAAGTAGTAGGCCACATGCAGTAAAATGAATGGCTCTCTATTGCCTCTGCTGGTCAAAACTATTTATTTCTAAAACTGTAAAGAATTTATTTTTATCTCTAACCAGTAGATGGCGTAATTCTACACATAGCACCTAGCTCAATATCCAGAAGCAATTTAAATTAAATTTTGATCATTATTAAAGTGATTTTTTCATAAAAAATTAAGATTTCATTTGCAAGTTTATGGTGTGGTTGAGGAATTGTGTTGTAAATAGGCACAAAAGTACTTCTTATCTCCCAAAACACAGCATTAATGAATAGATGAGAAGTAAACAAAAAAATATATATATTATTTGTATTATTAAAAATGTATAGTTTTTGTACAATTTCTCTATCAATTGTTGGGGTCATATTGACCCCAAAGACCAGATTTGTAAACAGAAACAAAGACCCGTCCGCACAACTGAGTTTTCGTTTAAAAATGGAGAATTAAAACGAATACGATCTCCGTCCACACCAGCGTTTTATCTGCATATTAGAATTAATCTCCGTCCACATTAAAACGACTGAAAACGCGGATCACGTGACCATTCACCAACACTGGGCATGCGTGTGCCGGTGTAAACAGTCGCTGACGAATCAGGGAAGGACACATCATGACCGATGAAACCCGATCATAGAGCCGAGCGTGAGCCTCTGCGTCATCATTTCTGAACTCCTCCGTTTTGTCCCGTCTACACTAAAACGCCCTCCGGAGATTCAAAACGCAAAACAGAGCTGCGGCGTTTCTAAACTTCTCCGTTTTAGGTCTTCATTTTTTTTGTTTTAGTCTGGATGGGAGGTCAAAATGTAGCAAAAGGCCCAACGTACTCATCTTTGATGACCATTTTGACTTTAGGTTTTTGTTGTTGTTGTTGTTGTTTTTTTACAAATTACTAATGCTGCCCAGATGGAAATTTATCCAAAAAGTTGTACAAACCTCTTCTGGGAAGGAAATATAGAGTCCGAACCTCTTGGAATTTAATTGAATATCCCTGATAGAGCATTTAAAGCAGCAGATACCTGCAGTCCACGTCAACATAAACAGAATATTATCTATTAATGTGGACACTAATATAACATGCTTTTATTGTTATTTCCTGTCTTTTGTTGTTTTCATTTTTTTTGCGTGTCGTCACCTACATTTGAGCTACATGCACAAAGTCCATTGTCACTGATGAATCTTTAGACCGGAAGAGGCTATGTAAGCTTTCTTTCTTTTAAAGGTACAATGTTTAGTTGAAACAAAATGTTTCCTGACTTCAACTGAATCCCAACGTTAGCCAATCAGTTGTTCTAGGCATTTTTGCATCTGAGGCTGAAATGAGTTTGCCTGTCAGGGATACCAGCCATCCGTGAGGGATTAGATTGTTCAATGTATTCTAGAATACAGAGTTTCCAGGTTGTTTCCTGTTCTCATTGGCCTGCAGATGCTATGGAGTGCATGGGTCTTTCCACTTCATATGGCATTTTGGCCTTAGGGATGCCCCGGTGTGTGTGTGTGTGTGTGTGTGTGTGGAGGGGTATTACTTCCCTGATTACTTCTTCATTATGTAATTGCCCACTCCAGAGTAAATTATAAACAGAATGTGTAAAGTGTGTGATCTCTCACTGGCTCAGATCGTGTTTCGGGGGGGGGGGGGGATCCCTTTGATTGTGACACACCAACACATCTCATCAATGCAGCTTCTCTGTTCAAGCCATCTGCTTGCCCCTTCCATTGCTGTCCCATCTGATCACCCAGTCAATGGCCTTTTGTTGCTAACACTTTCCAAATGTTGACCCTCAGTGCCGTTAAATAACCTCCCTCCATTTCTCTGTACTCAAACTCTTGATATAAACTCCTGAAAAGGGGGCTCTCACTCTATCTCTCTCGCTCACTCTCACACACACATTTTCTTAATTGTCCCGTGATTGGCCCATTAACCTAACCAGGGCCCTGGATAGCAGATCCATATGTCACTTTGCCTAGGGAGTGTTGTGGACAGGACCAGCAGCACGGTTGGAAAGATCGTGATGCTGGTCTGGTCTGTAATTAGTGGCATATCCTGACCAGGGTCACGGGGCAAGCCCTCCAGGTCAGGGGTTGTAGAGTGTGTCCTGCAGCTAACAGGTGCTCCACAGGGGCGAGAATTCTTCCTGGTGACTTTTATCCCAGAACAGTACAACCAAAGTGTTTGAGTTTAGCATTCATATATGCACTCAGAAAACATTGCATTTATAGAATTGCATTTAACAGAAATGACAAAACTACATAAAATATGACATGCATCCATTTATAAACACTGCTGTTGTAGCTGTTGATTAGTAATCATCCTGACTGTTTTCTCCTATCTGGTCTAGAACAAGAGGACAACTTTGAGTTCATCATTGTTTCTCTGACGGGACAGACTTGGAATTTTGAGGCAACATCCTATGAGGAGCGGGACGCATGGGTTCAGGCCATTGAGAGCCAGATCTTGGCGAGCTTGCAGTCCTGCGAGAGCAGCAAACAGAAGGTAGAAAACAGTTTCAAAGCACTAGAACAGTGTGTTTCACATAGTATGCTATGTATTGCTGTGATTTAGACCAGGGGTTCAAACTTTTTCATGCCAAGGTCTCACAAAAATGATGTTCCAATTGCAAGGGACCCCATTCCTATGATATAAAGAGCAGGTGTGTAGTTGATGGGTCAGTTTCTTGACGCTCATCTATTAATTTATCCAAAATTATAAACAATGCAGCTTACGCATACAGTAATTTGAATACACCCATTCTATGAGGGGAGTGTTTTCAATTTCTGAATAAAATTGTAATTTTAATTAATTGGGGCCATAAAGTAAGCCTCATTAGATAATTAAAATTAAAAAAAAAAGCCTCACTGCTTCTTAATTGAAAAACACCTGTTTGTTTTCCAACACAAAGTACCGGTATTGTGATTCAACCAACATGCTGTAATAATTCAATATTATTTAATATAATATATATATATATATATATTAGGGGTAGAACGGTACGCAGAAGTCACGGTTCGGTTCATACCTCGGTTCAGACATCACGGTTTGGTTCGATTTCAGTACAATGGAGGGAAAAGCAAAACAAAAATACAGAAGGCATTATATTTTTTAAATAAGTTTTGTTAATAAAGGCACAGAAGAGAACCAGTTTATTTGTAGTGCACTGACAATAGTTTTATATAATTAGTTTTTTAATTAAATTAATAAAGACAAAAATTGTATATGTTTGGTAGTTACCTGATTTGTTTTCCTTAATTTGAACATTATTAATTAACAATTTAACATTTAACATTTTAACAATTTAACAACAAACGCGACTAGAGCACCAAATTCGCGTCTAGTTCGATGGTAGTCCAAAGCGAGGATGCGCGTATAAAGCCAACGTTCACACCAAACACGAATAGAGCGCCAAATTTGTGTCTATCGCGTCTAGTTCAACACTAATCCAAAGCGAGGATGCGCATATAAAGCTAACGTTTGAAGTGAACGCGCGTTCAGAGCTAGCCGATGGTACAGATTATGTGTCCCTAAAGAACCGGCGTATCTAACAGTAGTTCCGCATTACATTAATTAATATGCACACGAGTTTTATTTATTTTTATACCGTGTATTCGCTGTGTAAATTTGTGCACCGAACCGTGACGCCCGTACCATTTCAGTTCAAAACGAATACATTTACCGTTCCACCCCTAATATATATATATATAGATAGATCCCCTACAACCATCTTGGACCCCAGTTTAAAAACCCCATATTTAAATGATTCTAGTCAATGTTATTGGCTGACGTCCTTTCTTGTCAAAGATTTGGTGTTTTATCAAGTACATAAGATAATTAAAACGAGCCACCTTCTTGTTACATGGCTATATATATGTTTAGAAATTGTAATTACTTTCATTCTAATATTACCCTCCTGCAGTATTACATGCCAGTTTCATAGCTACAATTTTAACTCTCAACCCACTGTGTGTTTATGCCTCAGGCCAGGGCAAATTGCATTTCATTGGACCTTCTACAGTGCCTCTTTTCTTTTTATTTAGCTCCACTTGTTTCCCCGCTTTGGAATCTCATTTCAGCATAAAATGCTGGGTGTTTGCAATGTTGCTGTGTAGTCAGAATTGTCTAATGATGCTTCATGAGAGTCATTACCTTTGAAACAAACTTTAACTTGTGTGCCCATAGTCTCGTCTGAGCAGCCAATCAGAAGCCATCGCGCTGCAGTCTGTCAGGAACATGAGAGGAAACACACGCTGTGTGGATTGTGAAGCTCAGAGTGAGTTTTGAACTGAATAAATTTGTTATAATCTGAGATCTGTGTTTACATTTCGTACTATGTACTGATCTGGCTAAGTGATGCAACAAACAGAATGATCCTTCTATATGGATGAATTAGGGTCGTATATGCCATATATACACACGGTTATGCCATATATATATATATATAAACTTATGGACCGTTTCATTTTTTCTGTCTCTCTTTTTTGGCCTTTTCAGATCCTGATTGGGCCAGTCTGAACCTAGGGGCTTTGATCTGTATCGAATGTTCAGGCATTCATCGGAACCTGGGTACTCACCTGTCCCGTGTTCGCTCCTTGGACCTGGACGAGTGGCCCCTGGAGCTCATCAAGGTTATGTCTGCCATTGGAAATGAGCTGGCTAATAGTGTGTGGGAGGCCAATGCTCAAGGACGCCTAAAGCCTGCTCCTGATGCCAGCAGGTACACATTTACATTATTTACTCTTTCTAACTGTTTGAGCTTTTCACTTAACCAATCATTTCACTTTGTGGGTCTATCATTATTTCCCAACGAGTAGTACTATGTACGAATAAATAGTATTCAAAAAACGGTACTCAAAAAGTACATGGATTACCTTCTGCTTTCACAGAGATTCTGCAGTGTGCGTTCGATGGAAACTTTAATATCCCATGGTTATCCTATTAATAATCCGTGGTGGTGATGCTATGCAACTGATGCCGTTGGTCACATGACAGTGACAATGTCCCTTATGGCATTTGTGTGTGGAGTTCTGTGGAAAAACCTAAAATCAGATTTTTCCTTTTCCTTGCTCTTCCATCTTTAGCAGCGTAATTATCGGCAGAGCGGCTTTAGTCCCACCAGCCATCATAACAAATTAGTGCTGACTGCTGGCCGCCAAAATATCGACTTCCCATTCCACGCCGGCCTCATTAGTCACCTGAAGCACCTTTTAATTACTCCCCTCCTCTCTGAAAATCTTTCGATATGGATCCGCCATTTTCTGCCGTCCGTTGTCGATGTGCTAATGCGATTATAGTTCCTCATGTAGCTGTTTATTTATGTATGTTGAAGGCATGTGGCCCCCTGAGTGGGAAGAGGAGATTACAGAGAGGGTCAATATTATCTCAATTAACCTCAGTCATTGGACACAGTCATCTCTCTACTCACCCTCAATACTCCTGCTGAAATAGACGGAGTATAATCCAGTGTGATTCCCTCATATTTTTGACTGGACCTGGCTTTTACTTGGTGACATTGAAAGTTGATGTGAAATCTATTTGTAGGCTAAGCAGAAAAGATTTATCTGGAGTAAAAACATGCATTTTACTGTACATCATGAATATTACTATTATAGTTGTTGACAATGGGGGTCCTTGGCTCAGTTGTCATTTTTCAATCCCCTTTATCCCACCATCTTTTTGTTACCTGAGATAATCCTGTAATTCAAGTTATTTACTTGAAATAGCCCGCTAAATTATTTTAACTTCATCTTAAAATTATCTTTAAAAAAATGACTTCAAAATCACATATACATATTAGGACTATCAACGTTAATGCATTGGCACATGCGAATAATTCAATATCGTTGACTCCTTGAAATAATAGCGCAATCAAATGACTGAAGCATGTGATATTGCCTCAACGTAATTCACATCACGCATTCAGATTATCTTAGAAGTCGGGAGTTTATCACACTGGCACAAGCATATGTGGAAATTTCTATTCTAACCCTTTAAACCGGTTTTGCTTCTGTTTGCGATCATTTAAATTCATTAAATTTCGGGGAAGTTTTCAGTTTAATGATCCAGTAAGCGAATTCTTTCAAGCAATTGAAATCGATTAAAACATTATTTTTTTGACGGCCCTGGTCCCACTTTATGTTAAAATCATCGTGAAATCAAAATGAAAGATTTTTTGGCTTTTAATATACAGTATATTAGCCTTTAGGTTATCTATAAGCTAGTGTGCTCTAAAATTCGCATTTAAAAGATACAAGCATTCAAAACTAACTTCCACCAATATGGATCAATGATTTTGATATCACTTCTCCTTATTCCAATTCCTCCTTATTATCAATGATTTTGATATCACTCCTCCTTATATCAATGAAATGCTCTCTCGAATTTGAAGCATTCTGCTCACTGCACTATAAATAGTGGCTGAAGCTGTGGCTGAAATCTGTCACTTGTTCACACTATTACTATTTTCCATATGGTGAATGGCACCTAATGCACTATAAAGGGGATGGGGAATGATTTCAGACAGTGCAAATATGCTTTCCATTGGGCAGAATGAAGTCTAGTTTCACATTAGTGTCATGCGAACCACCGCAGCGCGTTCAGTCAGCTCCGGTCCAGAGACACGATTGCACAGAGAGGATCAAATGCGCAAGTCGGAGCAGACGACGAAACGTATTAAACCCATTTGAATGCTGTAATTTAAAGTGATATAAATTTAAAAACTATACATCTACACAAACTACACTTTCTCAGCATAATTATGTTCACTATTTTGCTTTAGTAACAGTTGCGTGTTAAATCTAAAAGGGCTATTAGATACTATTAGACTGGCTGTCATATCAAATGCAACTTTGCCGAGCTCAGCAGCTCTTTCCAAGCTGTGATATAAACTAAACGCGATTGGCTATTTCAAAAAGGGGAGAGGCTGTTCGATATGTCCCGCCCTGGTTTCCTGCTTCAACGTCTACACATTGAGTGAGTAATGCTGCGTTTTTCAAGGCACTTCAGTGGACCTTTAAGTGTCTTTAACTACTATGTACTAACATTTAAATTAATGATTTGATACAATGCACTTAATGTGTACATGTTTTTACATTGTACTTATATTATTATAATTACCTGCGTGTAATTATATCTGTTATAATTTCTTTATTTACGGCTATAATTACACTGTTGACTCTTCCCTTCCCTTTTAACCCACCCTGAAACCTACACATACCACTAAACTGGTCCCTAAGTCTTTTGCAATACATTAACAAAATAAGTACATTGTACTTAATTTTTGTCCAAGTACATAGTAGTTAAAGACACCTAATATGAAAATTACTGTTATTATTTTTTTTATTTTATATATATATATATATTCCTTAATCCTTATATATGTATTATATCATCAAAATTTAAAGAAAATTGTTATGCCTTTAATTGAATTCAGAATCTTACAAACTTTAGTTCCCTCATGAAATTCTAGGGGTTCATGAAGCCTGGTTGGGAAACCCGATAAAAGCCATAAAATTGCTGAGAATCTTGTAGAATTCGACTTACATTTTAAAGACTACTTGACCACCCCGTAATTGTGTGTGCATGTGATTTTGTCAGTGCTCTGTTGCGTGTAATTTGCTGCCTTTCCATCCTTTACTGGACGTTTGAATTGATTTAGTTTGTAACATGCAAATGGATTCAATCTGATTGGATAAAGCACATTTGACTGTAGTGTGTCAAATCTAAAAAACAGAATATGATCTAATGTATTCTCTATACTCAAGTTCTGTTGATATGATTTGCATTTGGCGTGTGTGAAGTTCATGGTTTTCCTTATTAGAATGTCTTGAGACATTGTTGAAGCGTTCATACATTTGAAGCGCTGTCTTGTCGCTAAATGCTGATACTCAGCAAGCTTGTGTCCTGGCGAACAGCTCAGGCATTGGTGTGTGCGCTCTGCATCCAGGATTGGTGGCTGATAAATGAAAACCCTCCCTCGTGGTCTCTCAAGTGAGTAATAGAGCTCGAAATTTCATTTTGCAAGCGACTGATTTAATGATCCAAAGGGTAATTAATGGGCTGATTATCTTAATGTTAAATATGGCCAGCAGCAATTAGACTGACCTCCCGCCTGTCAAGGTCTGGGCTACTCTCGTCTTTCAATTAGGGGTCTGTTTGGGGGGTGTGAGGTGGAGATAAGGGGGAAGAGACGCGTTGTCTTCCATACCTCTTTCTCCACATGCATCATTCCTTGTTCTCCAGGCTTGAATTATGTTTTAGAGTGATCACACCCAGACAGCCCACCTGGATCCGACTAGAGAAATCGTATGCTGTTTTTAAGCTTTTTCTTCTTGACCCACCTATTTCTATAAGGTTTTCTTTAGCATTTAGCCTCAGCAACCTCTGCCTCTTCTTCCAGCCTTCACTGTTAATCGTCTTTTAAGAGAATGTCAAGAGTTGAATTAATGGCGCTGTATGTTAGCTGTTCTAAAACTATACTTGCTGATTTGGACACGCCCCCCTCTTTCTAAACCCACGCCCTACAAGAATACGGTTGCATTTTAAGCACTGTTCAACCACAGCGACTGTCTTGAGGAAATTGGGTGTTTGGGGGAATGGTCAAGCAGCCTCCACTGGACCACTTGAGATAAACTGACCTAAAACTGTTTGTAGCATTTACAATTTATGAAATCCTTTTTTTGTAGTTTATTGATCCTAGGACTGTTATATTTCAGGACACTTACATCACTGATATCTGTCAGTTAACAGGGCTATTATTGAGTCATTATAACATTTTCTCTGTATTTAACTGTTTGCTTTAAAGCAAAGGGAAAGTTTCTTCCTGTTGCCTCATGGGCTGCTTGGCCGTTATGTTCGATTGAGCCCGAGAGAAGCTCTAAATATACCCATTAACCTTTTACTGCCTGGGATAAATTCACACCTTCTCTGCCTCCAAAAACTCTATGAGGTCACTCAAAGACACCGCTATGGGCTTATTTTTGGGATCGTTTGACCACACACACGCATTCTCACACACTGCCTCTTAGGCGATAGGTTTTGGCATGAGTGCTGTTTGTTGGCAGCTAGGCCATGTTGTAGTCTCATTTTTTTAATTAGTGTGGTGCTGCCATGGACACCAGAGCCCCCTCTCCCCTTCCTCGCACACTAGGTGCCGGTCTGTATTAGCGGGCCAGGCAGGGTAGGAATGACAGCTTTGCTAATTGCGCCTCGTGGTGACTTATTGGGAGGGTGGCGCTCGCTGGCATCTCACACTGCCAACCCTCAGCAACACTCTAACGTTTCGCAGCCTGTCACCAAGCGTGAATATCTGAAAGTGTGAAATACATGCATTGTGTGCGTTTCACACACCCCTTTGTTCCAAGTGCATGTTAGTGATATACTTGTTTTCTCTATCTATTTCTATGTTATCTGAGTGTAATCAATTGCAGAAAAAACTATCAGATTTTTACTGATTATTGTGGAATGCTACAGGAATTACTTTTTTTTTGTCGGACAAAACGTGGAAATTATTATTTTAGCACTTCTGGTTCCATCATCCGAAAGTCAATGTTTTTTTGTTTGTTTTTTTATTGGGTTTTTGGTTAAAATGTCTGAAATAAGGTTTGAGGTGAACACAAGTTCAAGGTTTTTCTCAGATTTAATGCTGCGACATACACAAACACTTAAAAAAAATGTGATTGTGTGATTTAAAAAATGTGTGATTAAAAAAATTTTTTT